ATGATGTATCTTAAATTGAGATATGTCTAAATTTAAAACCTATTTCTACATAGGTAAACAATCGTAATCTTTAACATTCATTACTATTAAACACTTTACAGAACTGTTAAGTCTACTTATTTATTCTTATACAAATGTACAAGCATATACATCATTATCACATGTATGTTGTAGGTAAATGAAATATATTAAAAACATATTATTAATTTTGCAAAATGATAATTAAAATTCATATAAGTAATCAAGACGTAAAATATTTTTCTTACCTGAAGAAGGGCATAAGTCTAAATATTATAAATGATTTGATGTACATTTAATTAACAAATTTAGGGATAAAATATTTCTCGAGTTGCTTAATACATATTTATATTAGCAGAGATATTAACTGATACATTCAAAATTCACTTATCGACAATAAAATTGAACTTGCAAACCAAAAAATAATCACCTGAACTTTTCAAAAATCATTTAGGTAGTATGTTAATCAATTCAATCAAGTCATTATATTGTTATTTACAGATCTCGAGATTCAATTGAAAATATAATAAAACAATTAAAAGTAATGAATTAGTTAGACAGACAATTGTAATAAAATAATTAGATAGACAATTGTGTTTAATTTGATGAATGTTATAAGTGATGTTTGCATAGTGTATTTTATCATACGATAATTAGTAATTTCATTATCTATCCGAAGTAGAAAAGCATTCGATATATTAGAATTTCTATGAATGCATTGAATACATCATATGGAAAGGCTACTGTATCAAAGTATTTGACAAAAGAATAGAATGAAATACCTTTTTAACTCAAGTAAAGTCCTGTAAGCCACAACCAAACTAGCTGCATGTGATTTATAAATAGTTGATGGTTCACTTTATTTGCAATACTTTTCTCCTTACCATGTACTTAACAAATAATTTGCTCTTTTTAGCACTAATAGTCCGTAATCATTGAAAAAGAAAAGTATTTGGTAATTGGTCAAAATTGAACAACATCATCAATCAAGTGGTAGAATATATAAAACCACCAAACTAAACGAATTAAAGTAGGATAACATGAATGAGAGTAACTAATAAGTATAAATATAAACAACTATTTTATTTTAACTATGTAGGAGAATCAATAACTAATTTGAACAAAAACTATACACTTTAATAATCACTTCTTATCTGGAACCTCACTTGAAGCGTTTTCTGCAAATTTAGGAACTCTAACCTATACGAACACATGGACATAAGGGCGCTGGCACGCAGGTATTTAGTCCAATTTAGACAACTTAGGCAGTTGGCACCAAAATTAAAAATCTATGCGGTTGGTATTAAAAGTTTGGAATAAGTTCGATTACTGTTTTACGTAATTTGTGGATTATGCTAATTTGTTTATTGTTAACTTCCCGTAGGGCAAGTTATAGTAATCGCAAAAAAATCGAAAAAGAAAATTTTTATATATTTTTACGTTTCAGAGGTTTCTGAATATTTTGGCATACCTTAGAAAAAAATGTATGTAGGGCAAGTTATAGTAATCGCAAAAAAAATCGAAAATGAAAATTTTTATATATTTTTACGTTTCAGAGGTTTCTGAATATTTTGGCATACCTTAGAAAAAATGGATGTGTGTGTGTGTGTGTGTGTGTGTGTGTTCGGATACAAATTTTCGTCGACGATGTCGGGAACACGGTTCAACCGATTTCAATTATTCAAAAAACATTTGATTCCTATTAATAAGGAGACGTGCTGATTAGTTTTTGGCATAGGCAGTGCCAAAAACGGTAACTCAGAGTTCAAGAGAACGGAGCGTTCGATTTCAATAATTCAAGAAACATTTTACTTGTATTAACAAGATAAAAAACTGATTAAATTTTTGGGAAGGTAGGTCTAGCGGTTTGAGAGATTTTATAAAAAAAGTAAAAAAATGCAATTTGAGGTCAACAATGATCATTAGACATATGCACATCAAATTATCAGATATTTCATGGAGATTTTAATAATGTGTATCAATTTTGTTTACATTTCTGTGGGTTTCGTAAAATCGTTTGTCCGTTCGACGGCTACGTGCTTCGATATTGCGTCTTTATGCAGCTAAAGTAGTGCGATTGCTTAAAAAAAGTTCAACATTTCCAAAATATTTCAAAATAAAAAAAAAACTTTTTTTTCCAAAAGTTTTTTTTTCAAAAAAGTAATTTTTTTCAAAAATTTAAAATTTCTCAAAAACCTAATTTTTTCAAAGTTTAAAACATATATATATATATATATATATATAAATTTAATTTTTGGTACGAGAAGTTTCAGTCATTTGCCTTAAGGCACGATGCCATACACCACTAGTTTATTATAATGATAATAAAAACTTATAGATGAAGGTTCAAAGGGCTTGTGGTTGATGTACAGTCAGGCGTTTTAGATAAAAAATCTAACGTAGATAACCGACAAACTTTTCATAAGTGTCTGGCCAATATGAAAATATGATATATTCGAAGATGCGTAAGTGCATGTTTGTGATATCTGACTGCAAATACATAGCATTTTGTCAGTTTTTAGTACCATTTTATATGCCAAACCATAGATAAATAAACATAAACGCTACATACTATAGCCTTTCATAACACTTCTCTTTTTGATAATATTCCAACTAACTGGTAAAGAAACAATTTGATGACTTCCTTAAATTCCAACTTACATATATTTATTAAGTAGATTTGCCATTTTTGTGAAGATAACTTTTGCGCTAATTTGGAATCCTTTTCGCTTTGAAAACCTTTGTCTCTGGCGTAGGGCATGCAACATCTTCATTTAAAATGCTCCTCATGTAATGTAACTTGTTTACATTGTTCAAACTTCCGAAGTTCATGTTTTCGTCTGAAAATCCGATATGCATCATTTGACACCAAAATTGGAAAAGGTATGTGAGTATGTGTATCAGCCAAAATATGTTAGTGGACGTTTTCTCAAAAACGGCTGCACCGATCTGAAAATTTTAAAAGGAGTTCGATGAGAAATGGCCTGGACGAGTTTTTGTAATTAGAATTCGCCAATAATTTTAAACTTGTTTTAGAAATCAGAAACATTTCGAAAGATATCAGTTGGGAATCGGGCTAATTAGTTTATAGTAATGACCTACTGGGTCGTTTCTGCGTAATTATTCACAGAAAGAAATATTTTGACGATTTAAATAAATGTATTTAAATATTTCTGTGAATAATTACTAATTAACGAAGGATTAATCTTTAAGCAAAATGTTAATTAACGAGTAATCTGAAATACTATAAACCTTCAAAAAATAAATTAGTTATAAAAATGTTTATCATTGAAGTTTGGAACAACGTCCTACGTTTTTCCAAATGATGCAGTTAAATAGCCGAGTGCTTCAGAATATATATATATATATATATATATATATATATATATATAATTATTCTTTTAATAGAAATAATTTAATTATTGAAAATAAAATTAACTGATTTTAAACCAAAAAAATACTGATTGTGAGCAGGGGCGTAGCGTGCCTTGGCGGGGCCCCGTATCAAAATTTGTTTGGGGGCCCCCCTTAAGAAGAATTTTTTCTACAACATATAAAAATACATAAAATTAAAAGAATATTTATTTATCATTTCTATTATTTATCTATCTAATTTTCTCTCATGTTCTAAATTTTTCACAAATGATTCCTGATATATATTCACTTTCTTTGAACTGCTTATGAAAAATTAAATTATTTAATGATCTCTAAAATTTATAAAGATTCTGTCACTAGGAATATTCAGGTCTGGTAGATATTTATGTCCTAAAGTTTTTACGTAATTTTTGATTAGTTTCAATTTTAAAATTTTCTTTTAGCAGTTGAAAAATGCATGCTATTTCGTTGGGAAATCTGGATGCACCTATAATGCATCCATCGCATTTCTTAGATTTTTGAATCCAAACCTATTTCTAGCCATCAATTGGCCATGATCTTATGAGATATTTTTTTAGTATTTCTTTATTGTAATTCAGTCGACAGATTGCCGGAAACGTTTAATAATTCTCCATTACAAAAAGGCAAATGATACTATTTACGTCGCAAAGTTTTTGAAACTTTTGTTTGGTTTGTGAAATCAATATAACCAAACAGAAACAGTATACACTAAAATAAGATTTTGGGTCAAAAATTCTCTCATATTGTGATAACTCATCATAATAACTTGTGATAACTCATCATAATAACGCTTCATTATCTTTTGTCTTTTGTCTATTTCGACTTCTTCAGTAAACTAATTTACTAAATTTTTAATTTGCACAGTCTATTCAAAAGATTACCTAATAAAATGCTAGTTTTTCATAAGTCATTACTGTCATATTGTAAAATTCTAGAAATGAAACTAATAATTTGAAACAGTGAAGAAAGAAATCTGAAAATGATTTAGTTGATCATATTTATCAAAATCTGACTATTAAACTTACCCGTCAACTATGCTCGTCAAGCAGACAATTCAAGTAGTAACAAAAACAAATATAAAAATGTTATAAATATAACTTTCAAAATTCCAATTTTTGATGAAGAATGTATAAACTGGATTAATTTTATAGATTTGATAACAAGAATATTAAACTTATCGTATGTGCAAAAACTTTACTAATTGAATTGATTGCTAGAGTTAGCTTACAAGTTGAAATTCAATACCTTTTGATAACAAAAGAAAATGTGAACTACGTTAAAATGATTAAATTTAAAAAAAGTTTTGCTTTCTGATTGTGGTCGTCGCGGGCCTCCCTGGCTCGGGGGCCCCATATCATTGATACGGCTGATACGGCGGTAGTTACGCCCCTGATTGTGAGACAACAGGAAATTAGATACCATATTAACACTGCAGAATTTTGAGATATGTACAAACATATTTATTGATCTCAATGAAACAATTTGTTTTAATGTTCTATTTTTTCTTATAACAAAAATAATTTACATATAAATACATAAATAATTTATACAATGGTATTATTCGCAAATAATTTAATGACGTCGTTTTAAACATGGGCACTATAAGCGAGTTGTTGAGCATCCAAACTTCTTGCATATCCTCCATGTCCTTGGTTGTCCCAACCACTGTGAGCATGATGATCAACATGATGTTCTACATGCTGGGGATAGTGAACTACCTCGTAATTGACAACCTAGAGTTAAAATAAGAAACGATTAATTTCTGGATTTATTCTAATTTCTATATAAATAATATATTTATATTATTTTGTTACCTTTGGTTTCGTTAATTTGAACAAAGCCATGGCTGCAGATAAGACCAAAGACAAAAGTCCTAAAGTCAAAGCTTTCCACGTTTTGAGAGCAATCAAAGCTAATGCTAATGGTACAATAACTGAAGCTTTGAATTTCAATCCCAACACGAAAGGTATCACTACTTTTTTGACAAAGCTAGACCTTCCTGTAAAACAATTTATTTAAATAAAAATATATGGTGTGCATCTCGTAAGTTTTTACCCATACCTTCACCAACGCTCGACTTCTCAGCTAGAGGAACATCGATATCTTCTGCGTTTCCAATCAAACTCCTTGCAAAATACACTTGGTTTGCTTCTTGCTTCAACTCTTCGGGAACGAGAATTTTCAACGAGTGCGTTTCTAAGAAATTTTCCACTGCATGGACTATCGCGAATTTTGTATCATGCATAGATCTTTCTTGATTATTTTCAGTTTTCACTATCAGCAAATTATCTGTGATCTTGATAACATCACTATCATAAACATTACTTAACCAAGACAGAGCTTTAGGTTTAACACAACTGAATGATAATCGTTCCAAACAATCCGTGTACATGTCCTGAGCAACAGAAATCGCGGACTTTTCAGAATTTACTGAAAAAGTCAAAGCACTAATCACAACAAATGATAATAAAAGCTTTGTCATTTTGGCATACAAATTTTGGATTTTGGGTTTTGTCTGAATGATAAGGCATACAATGAAAGAATGAGTATCAATAATATAATGTGCTCTTTTATATGTTTCCTATTCTGTCCGTGTGTTGTCTTTGGGAAGGAGCATATCACGCTGTTGATGTCTCATTTAATATGCGCGAGTCGTGCTTCAAATGAGACACTTGTGTCTAATGGGCAACGAAAGTAAATTTTGAAATAAAAAGTTAAACTGTATGCCTATAAGATACAAAAAAATAACCATATATTAAAATAAAAAATAAAATTTATTTGTGTGAATATTAATATTTCGTCATTCATCCCCAATATGTTATATAGAATCACCCACTAATTGTGAAGTAGAAGATTGAATACCAATTGTTAACTATTTGCTAAATTTCATTTTTCAATAAGCATATTATTTTCAATTGCCAGATCTATTATTTAAGATAATATTTTAATAATGCAATAAAGAGGAGTCCTAGACAATAAAAAATTAGTCAGTACGTAATTGATGAGATCTAATAATTTTAAAGTAAGTGCACTTACTTTATTATTGTTATGCTTATAATGGTATTATAAATCGGTGTATAACTATAACATCATTCATTAATTTTCCAAGAAATATCGAAAAAAATTGTATGATCCATAAATACCGGCAATGATGGCAAAATCATCATTGTATAAATGTTTTTTTTTCTCTTGAGATTTTAAATTAAGTATACTAAGTAAAATTATGTTATGTATAATATATTTCTATAATATTTTTTCTTTCTATTTTATTTGTACTTAATAACAACTTTATTTTTGCCAGAATGTTAAGACATCTGGCAATGAGGAAAGAATATTGTGAAATATTTCCCATTGCCATTTCACACCGCAGTGCCCGAGATGGGCTTATTTTCAAATGGAAACATTTTTCATCTATATCCAAATGAAAATGGACGCGGGCTAGAATTCGCGACCCTGTATATATATATATATATATATATATATATATATATATATATTGAGGTGGTCTTTAACAAGGACATTTTTGAATTTCATTGCTCTCAAGGGCGCCAATGCTTATAATTAATAAAAAATGAATCTTTAATAGTATTAGCTCTTAACATAAACATTTAGATAGAGCGCACTCTAATTAAAGGTTTCTTATATTTGTTATTAACATACGTCATTAAGTAAATTCTTGTGCCATCTGTATAGTATTCGTGAACTCAAATATTTGGACACATAAGAATATTTATAAACCACTTAACCTCTAATTAAATCCATGTGGGCTGTTCTATAATATTTATTCACCATGGAGTCAAGATTAATTTTGCAGCTCATCTTATATTAATGTGTATATTCAACAATTATAAAGTAATTATTTTTGTGTGCTGTAAATTTTTGTAACTTATTAAAAAACATAACTCAAACCATTAGTCCGAAAATATAATGTTGATTATGGTGAGTGCAAAACTACAGAAAATGGAATAAAACTGCATATTAGTTTGATATACTGTTACATTACTATTATAGTGCTATTACATTTTATTACTAGCTTTGATAATTTTTTTAAACATCACATGTGAACTTTCCTATAATTGAAAGTAAAAAAAAGCTCATCCTTGGTCGCAGATATCGTTAGTGCTTCACCATTTTGTTTATCATTTGAGTCAAATTCGAACATTTTTCTTTTTTTCCATCATATCTAATCAGCATGAAATCAATGCCGGTGAAACGAAATTGATCTAATTTTTTCGTCTCTTTATTTCCGGTACGGTCCTTAAGAAAATCATCCATATTCCATCCATGTCCGAAAAGAGTGTGCATCGAAATTCGTTAATGTCCTAAATTCCTTGATTTGAATCGGAACGAATAGAAAGTATCGTACATATTAGTATTGGGATGACATTGTCTTAATACAGGCAGTTTAGGTTACAAAATAACTGAATCGATTGTTTTGAATGGCGAACGAAGGAACGTGCAGATACGTCCGATTTCCGTATGATCTGTGCCATCGCGCTAGGCGCCCTGAATGGCTAAGTGGCAACGCATCGGCCACTCGATAATTTCTGTTTCAAATTAGATCCACTTAGAAACTATTTAGAACTAATTGATTATTATTGCTGCCAATAAAAGAGAAAATGTTGCCGATATTGGCAATCGAATGACATTGGCAATCGCTGAACTTCTGGTCAGAATCTGAAACCAATATGTTGATGTTTCAACTTTATACATATATATTTATATTCAATAGATAAGTCTTGAATTTTTTCAATATATTGATTATTTCTTTTCCGAACAGTAAATCCAATAATAAAAAACAATTTGTTTTTTGAAGACTGTTAATAACGACGTTTCGGAACTAGATACGTTCCATCATCAAATTTATTCTGTCAAAGACAATGTTTTTTAAAAACTATTGACTAACATTAATTAATGATAGTTATTACAGATTATTTAGAAAAAATTATAAAGGAATGGATTATGCACCAGTGTAAAAAGTAAAGAAAAGTAACTAAAAAAGGTTTTATATAAAATTGAGAAGCAAAAATTATTTACCTGTACATTTTGTTATGTATATATATATATATATATATATATATATATAATTTTTATGTTTGTATTTTGTTTTACACAAAAATTTTAATAACAAAATTTTCAAAAGTTTTACCATTTTACAATCCTGACCTTGACGCACTTTAGGATATTATTTTAAGGAGAGCTCCTCAAAGTTAATTGGTTTTTTGAAAAAATAAAAGTCTTAAGTCAGAAAAGTTGAGGCTATTGCTCAAATGTTTTTGATTATGGCCCTAGAAATGTTATTCACGGTTGCGGTTCCAAAGTTTAAATGAACAAAATTATTAAACATTGACTACAATAACCAAAAATTGTCATAACTTCACCAAAGTTCTAGGTTGCAAATGCAAATAATTTCCAAACAACGTAAGATTTTTTTTTAATTTTTGGCCCAACGTTCTATTCTGAGACACCCTGTATATGTAATGCACTTACAATTGTCAATAATGCAAATTTATCATAATGCAAATAATTTGTAACAATGAAAAAACTTAATATTTGCAATATTTTGAGGTATTATGGGCTGAAAATAAGAGTCGTGTAAAAAGAATTTGTACGCAATCATTGAATTATACAAGAAAAGCGCCTTGAAGTATTATCAATTAATTACATTTACTTTAGGATTTACTTCATGTAACAAAATTAAAGAGAAAAGGCGTTTTAACGGTATGCATATTTATCATGTTACATTTTTCAAGAGTTTTATCAAGATCAAGGTTGATTTCTGTGTTTCATCATTTTTTACATTACCTAATTTTCGTTTCCATAAAATATTTAGACGTGATGTTTAAGATCCAATTAGTCGCAAAATTTGTAGTACTTTTATTGAAACAGTACAGATTCTCAAGAAAAAATAATTACAACAAAGTATTGCCAATTTTTGTTAAATAATTGTTATGTATTTTTACCGAATATAATAATTGTTCGAAAACACGAAATTTGGAGAACTGTTGAATTAAATTTTTGATATTAAATTAGATAAAGATATTTTTCTACACAATAAAGTAACAAACTTGTATTAGATAAACAATAAAATATTAATTATCGTTTACTACTAATTACCATATATCTGAACAATGGTGTTTCAGTTATAATTTCAGATAAATTAAAAGCTCGGTGCTCTATGATGATATCAACTTACATAATCGTTTAATTCATTTTAGTTTCTAGATATTTCTAATCTATCATTATTCTGATTGTCTTAACCTTTATTGCCAAAAAAACAAGAAATTTAACCATAAATTAATTTTCAAATTTTAGATGTAATATGGATAATTTTCTAAGCTTATTATTATTCATAGATAATATGAATAATTGGAAATGAACGTAATGAATAAAACAGCTAATAAAACTGATCATAAAAATAGGAAGGATTTATTTGTTTAATTTTACTAACTAATTTCATCATGGAGGCTTAAATTTTTTAACTTACTACACTTGTATATTCTAAAGTTAAATGTTTATAAACTCCACAATACATGCTTCAATTGTTTAAAAACCCAAAGCTTTTATGATATTTTGGAATATGTTAATTTCGATATCAAACAATATTCAGCACACAGTCTACAAGAAATAGTTAATACATCATTATTTCTTTAAACTCAAATTAAATCAGTTAGAATAGTCAATTAGTATATAACGTAATATTCGCTTAAGAATATTGTTTTAATATTATTATAAAATTTTAATATTATAACGAGTCATAACACTGCAACCTTGGTATGTGCACATTAAATTATCGCATTTTTAATAGATATTTTAATAATATAATGTTTCTTAAAAAGTATGGTTTGAAACTCAATATCTTTGTAATCTCAATATAGTTATAAGATTCGCATTAAAGTCTAAACACACATTATCTAATCGCGTAGAATCTTAACATTTTAATAATGTTTTTTTATTTATGATTTTACTTTTTGCTTAACATGCACATTTTATGCAGATTCAAAATTGTAATTTGATTTATAATTTTATTAATCAAATATTTGTTTTTGGGAAAAAATATTTATCGAAAATCAAGGTAATAATTTATAATTTCTATGTAATTCGAAAATTACAAATATTTATATCTAGTTATGAATAATATTACATATAAGTATAAAAAAATTAAAATCGAAGCCAAACTGCCGCATGAAAGTTGTACATTTAATGCTTGATCGTAGAGTAAAATTAAACTTTTTTAAATAAATCCTTCATATTTTCATGATCAGTTTTATTAGCTGTTTCTATTCATTATGTTCATTTCCAATTATTCATATCATCTATGAATAATAATAAGCTTAGAAAATTATCCATATTACATCTAAATCTGCCCCAATTGCACTTATTTACTTATTTCATTATTTTACATTTTAAAAGATAGATATGTAATATTATACATCAAAGAAAGCAAAAAGAGTTTTATTTCTGTAAATATGGTGAAAAATGGATTTGACATAAAGAAACAGACAGATAGAGTAAAATCTAAAATAAATATAATGTTGATATGAACCACTTTATGGTAATAATTCAGATAAATTGTCTTGAAAGTCTTTAGTAGTGCAACAAAAAAAATATTATGTAATACTTGTTTATCTTGAAATAATAATAATAAATAGACTTCATGATGTAAATAATCACTTTTCTCTATATTTATGTATATTATATTTTTAAATTTATATTTTTTGCTTTAGTGTCTTGTTTTCATACAGGTGCTCTTCATCCTAATCCCTTCAGCTCATTTTTTGTCCGATCTAGTACTTTTTCAATTCTATTTATCCTTCAATTTGTCTTATATAGTTTTCTTTTTGTTTCAACATGTTTATGATCCAGTTGATCATCTCGATTTCAAAGTTCAAGATCACTTTTCAAAACAGTTCTAACTAATTATCTACAAATCAAATTTAACTTATGATCAAATTTAATTTTCAAGGCATATTTATGGAAAGATCATGATATTGCGCATCAATCTCAAAAATTGCAACATATTACATATTTTTGTTATTTTGAAGTTATTTAAATATTCACACTTTCAGATTAGTATCATATGTTAACACCTGTGGCGGTCGAAGCTTTAAGCTCATTTTAAATATCGATTATATCCTATTTTAAAATTTTATTGTAAATGCTTATTGAAATTGTTCTTGAAATTCAGAAATTAATCTATTATTATTATGTGATAAATGATTTGAAATAATTTTTAATATTAATTTTGTATGATTAAAAATCAAATCTTGTGGAAATAATTAATATTCAAAAAATTAATATGAACAAGATACGTAGTACTGAAGATAGTTCTATTATTATCATTGAAAATAAAAAAATATAATTTAATGGCTAAAATTGTTAACTTGGCATAAGGTAAATTATAGTAATCGCAAAAAAAAACGAAAATAATTTTTTATATATTTTTACGTTTGAGAGGTTTCTGAACATTTTGGCATATCTTAGAAAAAATGAATGAAATGAATGAAATTTTTGTCGACGATTTTGGAAACACAGATCAACCGATTTGAATGATTCGAAAAACATTCAATTTGTATTGATAAGGAGACGTGCTGATTAGTTTTTGGTAAAAACAGATCTAGCCGTTTCGAAGATACGAAGCAAACAGAGCCAAAAATGGTAAATCAGTTTTTGAGAGAACGGAGCATCCAATTTGAATAATTAAGAAACATTATGTTTGCATTGACAAAATGAAATACCGTGTAAATTTTTGGGAAGGCAGGTCTAGTGGTTTCAGAGTTCAAGAGAAAAAATAAAAAAAAAAATGCAATTTGACGGTCAAAAAAGATCATTAGACTTATGCACATCAAATTATCAGATAATTTATAAAGATTTTAATAAAAAAGTATAAATCTTGTTTACATTTCTATGAGTTCCATACCAATGTTTATCCGTAAGTCTGCGATGCGGTGCTAACGCGCTTCGATATTTCTTTTTTGAATTAATTAAAAATTCTATTTTAAATAAATAATAACTTGAATTTAAATTTGTATTTTCGCTTTAGTGAGTCTTACAGGCAATCGCAAAAATCGATCAAGATTTCAGGATCCGCTCTATCAATAATATTAATTTTTGTATTATAATTTTTTAATTTATAAATGAATGTTAACAATTATATATCAAATATTAATTTGTTTAACAGAAACTTAGTAATCTTCCAGTAAAGACAACTTTGTATGCCAGTATTTGAAATATATATTGAAAAGAAATTAAAGTTCTGTGATTGTCGAATTAGATATTCAGTGCACATATTTGCCTCGATAATACGATGCACCTACATCACGCTCGCGCCCGTCTTATCAATATGGCGAGAGACAAAGACAGTGCGACCAAACCCTGGCCATAATGCTTCATGACATCAGAAACTGGACATATAAATAGTTGATGGATACAGAGAATCATCATCATTTGATTACATTCCTTCAATCAATCATCAGTCAATAACTGAATTACAACAAATTCATTAAAATGACTTCCTTTAAACTTTTATGTGTGTTTGTGCTTTTCGGTGCTTGTTTAGCTCAACCAGCAAAACAAAATATTTTCAAAGGTATTACTTAGAATTATCATTGTTGTAAATTTTTTGTTAATTTCGTTATTTATTCGTATAGAAATGCCGGTCAGTGATCTAGCAAAAGAAATGAAAGCATCATGTGATGGAAACGATGCTATTGCTTGTATGAAATTTAAAGTTATGAGCTTTTTGGATATGCTATTCAAGAAAGACAACTTCCAAGTTAGTGGTGGATATATAACAACAGTGATTTACTCAATATAATTTTACGTATGTTTTTAAGGTTTCTGAAAATGTAGAAATTAGCAGAAATAGCTACAGCGCAAATGAAGTTGATGGACGATCAGATGGTTCCTTCTTAGATTCAGTTGAAAAATATCTGAAAGGACATGATGTATCTTTCAAAATGCCATTCGGAGAATCTAAAGTCAAAATCTCACCAAGAAATTTGGACAACGATGAACTTGATATTTCTGTCAAATTCGAAGATGATGTCAATGAAGCTAAGAGCAGCAGCGTATCACGTAATTTTAAACGCCATTAATTACATTCATTCAAATTTATTTTATTTATTTACTTTGATTTTCAGCAAGAAAATCCAAATTGAAGAAAATTGTTTTACCAATCTTGGTCTTCATCATGCTTAAGGCTTTGACCCTCATCCCCTTGGCTTTGGGTGTACTCAGCATCAAAGCATGGAACGCACTCCAGCTGTCTTTCTTCTCATTTGTTGTATCTCTGGCCATGGCAGTATTCCAATTGTGTAAAAAGGTATATATTGATCGAATCATTATTCAGAAATACCTACAAATTTACAACAGAATTTTAACAATAATTTTGTAACAGATTGCTTCTGACCACCATGCTCCACAAATCGCTGCCCACGGCCCATGGGACCAACAGTACGCCCGTTCTCTCGGCTGGTCAGCTCCTGCTGAACCCAAGATCGATGCCCAGAACTTGGCTTACAACGCATATGCATAAGAAGCTTCATCGAAGTGCTGCAGCCATTGAAACGACCGAAGAACATTAATTTATTTTGTAGATATTTGTAGTTTATTTATTTGAACGATTGTATATAAGTTATTGTATTGTAAACGAATCAATTCGCAAAATACATACGTTTTTACAAAAAAATAATTTGCCTTTAGTTTAGAATATATTTATAACATTTCCTTCTCACAGGTTTTAATTAACTTCCCGTAGGACAAGTTATAGTAATCGCAAAAAATCGAAAATGAAAATTTTTATATATCTTGACGTTTCAAAGGTTTCTGAATATTTTGGCATACCATAGAAAAAATTGATGTATGTGGGTGTATGTGTGTGTATGTGTGTGTGCGTGTGTGTGTGCGGATACAAATTTTCGTCGACGATTTCGGAAACACCGATCAACCGATTTGAGTAATTCAACAAACATTCGATTCGTACTGATAAGGAGACGTGCTGATTAGTTTTTGGCGAAGGCAGGTCTAGCCGTTCCGAAGATATGGGGCAAAAGTGCCAAAAACGGTAACTCAGTTTTTAAGAGAACGGAGCGTCCGATTTGAATAATTCAAAAAACATTTTACTTGTATTAGCAAAATGAAGAACTGATCAAATTTTCATGAATGCAGGTATAGCGGTTTCGGAGATCGAGTAAACAAAGTAAAAAAATGCCATTTGGCGGTCAAAAATGATCATTAGACATATGCACATCAAATTATTAGATATTTTATAGAGATTTTAATAATAAGTGTAAATTTTGCTTACATTTTCATGGGTTCCGTACCAATGTTAGGCGGCGACGCGGCGCTTACGCGCTTTGATATTTCGTCTCTACGCAGTAAAAGCAGTACGATTGCTTTGAAAAAAGTTCAGAATTTTCAAAATATTTCTAAATAAATTTTTCTTCAAAAAGTCTTTTTTTTCAAAAAAAAGTAAATTTTTATCAAAAATGTAAAGTTTCTCAAAAATCTAATTTTTGCAGAGTAAATTTTTTTCAAAAATGATAATCTTTTTGAAAAAAATATTTTTGTTACGGAAAGTTCTAGCAATTTGCCTTAAAACACGATGCCATGCGCCCCATTAGTTTCAAGTCTTTTTTTCTGTATGTCCGTTGCATGTTGTTTAGACTTGACAAAAATGTACTTTGGTTTTTTTAACTTCCTGTGGAGTAAGTTATTGTATTCACAAAAAAATCGAAAATAAACACAAGCCCAGGTTTGTGTGTATGCGGATACAACATTTCGTCGACGATTTCGGGAATACGAATCAACCGATTCAACTAATTTAAAAAGCTTTCGATTTCTATTAACAAGGAAACGTGCTGATTAGTTTTTGGACAAGGCAGTTTCTACACACGGGGCAAAAAGTGCCAAAAATAGTAACTCAGTTTTTGAGAGAACGGAGCGCGTCTGATTTCAATAATTCAAAAAACAATTTACTTGTATTGACAATATAATGAAATAATTAAATTTTTGGGAAGGCACACTGCAAACGTATGTCGCGTACTATAACACGATAAGGGGTGATTTTGATCTACTTTTTGGCGTGTTTTGACTAACACACCGGTCGAGTGTGGTACTATGAAACCACCCCGATGGGTGTGATATCATGAGAACACGACGTCGTGGGGTGTTAACCATAGGCTTATTTGAAGAATGTTTAATATTAATAATTATAATCTACGCTTTGTAGTCTCACAGAGACTATATTTTATTAAAATAAATAGACATTATAAAATAATAAATTTAAATTTATTAATATATTCCAATTCAAAATCACAATTTTACAAAAATTACAATATTATTACAAATAATTATGTTACAACAATTTTGATCAGCGGCGTCGGAACCGTGTGGGCAGGGTGAGCTTGAGTCCCCCCATGAATTTTGATTTGAATTTCAAAATATGATATGCCCTAGTTATAAAAAAACAAAAACGAAGCCACTGGCTGTCTATCAAAAAGTAAAACGAGCCCACCCATCAAAAATTTGCTTCCAACGCCACTGATTTTGATAAATTATTTTTGAAATAAAGTTGGTGATAATATTAATTATATGTAATTAATAATTGAAAAGAATTCAATATGAAAAATAATTAATAATAAAAATCACACAAAAAATTATCTAAATATATTTTAAATAGTTTATTTGCCTTTTTGTATAGCGCACACAACTTTCATCAATGTTAAAGTTTTATTATTTTATTATATTTGTTACTGTTCCCAATTTTTCGAATTCAACATAATGATAATAAATAGTAGTTTGGCCAAAAACAGGTCCATCGTATGAGAGCACCAGAAATCAATGATTCCCTTTCCCTCCTCTGTTTATTATTTTCATTAGAGTTTTATTAACACTAATCATTTTTTATTCACTCTTATGAATTTTCCTTTCAAAACTTCTGCTTCTATGCATTCAGGTCTTGTGCTTCTATTTAATATATTTTAATGCATTTGAAAAAGCATGGGGATAAGATCTGTGCCATACAAAATAGCATCCAAAATCAATTATTCGATCATCAATTACCATCTTAATTTTGTCATCCGTTACAATAATAGCTCGAGATATAATATAATGTGTAGTGTAAAGCACCACCTTCCAAAAAAATGCATTACTTAAAAATGCATGTGCATTACTCTTTTAATAATTAACTTTTTCATTGTAAAAGTTATTTTCGTATTCTTACTTTCTATAGAGAATACATTCGTAAGATTTTCAATTGTGTCATATTGTATTTAACAAAAGATTTTCATCTAAACTTTTTGAATTCAAAACCCCTAAGACACATAAAATGAAATCAAATCAAATATAGTACAACACTAGAAAAATTATTGACATTTTACTATATTCGAGAGAAGGAAATTTATTGATTATACCCATTATTCGTTGAACCTCATTCTCTATCTAGGGCCTTCGATCACTCAGTAAATTCTGATTAAATTTCTACTTGTGATACATTCCTCCCTTTAATGTATTTAATGAATTTCTGTAATTGTTTTATTTTAATTTAATTGTTGGATCTGTTTTTTCATTTCTAAAAATATAATGATAAATTAATTAAGACATATCGTACAAATTAAGAATTATATTTTTAACCTAAAACTAACCTCAAAAATAAAAAAACTTAAGAAAAATATATTACCTTTATTAAATTAGTTTTTTTTCGAAAAGCCCGGGTAACCAAATTATATACCTATGAAAAATTGCGTACATTCGGTATTGAGCTCTCGAAGCGTACAGATCGTGGAATAATCGAAAACAAATTTAATTCGTCTAAAATTACATAATGGAATCAGGGCCATACGGCGAAGCCGATGCCCAGTCGGACGACATAGACAGTGTGTATAAAATCGGTATAAGTGTAGCAGGTGATACGAGTAGATTATTAACATCGGAAACGTTAAAAAATGCTATTAGCAAAATTAATAAAATGGAAAGTGATTTAACTAAAGTGAATAAAAAAGAAATAAATAGTAAAAGTAAGGCAATTAAAAAAATAAATCATGAAATGTTAAAAAATGCAATAAAACAACAATCAAACAATAAAACAGTTAATGATAGTGAAGGTAATAAAAAAATAATACACAAAATTGGGCAGAAGAAATGGAAGAAGGCGAAAATAATAATGATCAAAATGTAAGTAAAAATGAAAATAATGATAAAAATCAGGATATGAACTCAAGTATAAAAGGCGATAATTACAAATCAATGAAGTATTCCGAGAATGATATGGGTCCATTTACCATATATGTTGAATCAGTAGATAAAAATACAGTACATCAAATGACAGTAGGCAGAATATTATTTAGCAGTTTACCTCAATATAAAAACGATATTATAGAAATAAAATCCATAGGCATTAACAGAATTAAAATTACGTTTAATACATATGACGCTGCAAATAAAATAATTAATGAGAAATTATTTATGGAAAAGAAATTAAAAGCATATATACCTATTTCTATGTTGATTAGGAAGGGCGTTATATATGACGTCGACACCGATATGACTGAATCAGATATTATGGAAAATATAAAATCAGAAATTCCTGTTTTAGATATTAGAAGAATAAAAAAAAACAAGACAATGCATTAGTACCAACAAGGGTATGCGTAATAACGTTCAGAGGTCAACGTTTACCTGACCGTGTTTCGATATACGCTGTCAAATGCAGGGTCGAAATTTACAACAAAGTGACACAATGTTTTAAATGCCAAGGAATGGGCCACGTGACTAGCCAGTGTAAAGGTAAAGCGAGGTGCAGCTATTGTGCACAAGAACACAGTTTCAAGGATTGTGTAAATAAAGATAAGAATCCGATTTGTGCGTTATGCAATGGGGAGCATCAAGCTATAGATAAAAAGTGTGAAAAATATTTGTTTCATATGAAAATTAAAAATATAATGAACGAAAATAACATAAGTTTCAGAGAAGCCAGGGCATTTATAAACAATAGAACATATGCCAACGTCATAAATCCGGACATAGAAATCAGAAACAAAGTGAAATTTCCTGAATTGCCCAATACGCAGCAGGAAAAACATGCAGAAATAAATCAACAGCTTGTAACCACGAAGCCTTCAACAACAATATCTAAACAGACATATAGGAATAGCAATTCCATAAACGTAACAAATTATGGTGACAACAACAAAACAATCGAAAATATGTCCAGTACACAGGAGCGAAACAGGTACAAATTTAAATACAATATTAACACAAAACCAAAATCTTCCTCACATATCAATAGTGAGAAAGGTGAAATTCCATTCGATAAATTAATCGAAGAATTAATTATTAACATATCAAAGAAAAAAGATTACACATTAAAAATTCTGAAAGAGTTAATTAAAGATATGGATAGATGACAAAAATAATATATGACAAATAAATGACTGGAAAAATAAAAATACTACAAATTAATTGCAGATCTGTTACAGCTAATAAGGCCAGTATTGAACATTTCCTTTATGAAAATGAAATTTCAATCGCGGCTTTCACTGAAACATGGTTTAAACCGGAATA